GTGATGTTTATGTTTTCTACATATGAATAAAAAAGAATAAAAATGATTAGTTTAATTTGAAGAACATGATGTTGGTGGTACTCAGTATCTATGATATCCATACCTCAAAGTGACTGTGATTTTTGCCATCTGTGTGATGCATATTAATGAACAGCGTTCTAATGTGTCTCAGCTTGGTGATTCACTTGACCATCAAACTGAGCACAGACGAAATCACACCACCAGTCTGACTAAAGATGCGCTCGCAGTCATGAATACTTATGAGGGCAGGAGTTAACCAATGAGACAGTGTTTACATCCATAATAAGTATTTTGCCCGTCCCAGCTGTGTCAATGAGACACTCCCACATAACAGATGAGTAATGGGTCACATCCTCAGCTTTATGCAATATGCAGGTGCATGAGCCAATCAGAGCGCAGGTCAGAAAACCGACCGACGTGGAGAGATACAGTAGATACTAAGAGAACGACGTTGCCTAAAACACAGCACATCACTGCATTGGGCAGTAAATCATTAAATCTTCTCCACTTTGAGCAGCACATCTATTCATGCAACTCACATCTGTCAAGTGCTGAGTGCAGAAAAATGTTCAAACACTCTTTTCGATCAGTCTTTGATGGATGAGCCTGTTTTATATCTTTGACACCCTGGAAAGCCATCTAGTTTACATCAGAAGTTGACGCCTCTAGCAGAGTGGGAGGAAAACATAGACGAGGACGGACTCATAGGATGGGAAAACATCTCGCCTCGTTACTATCAGGTTTTAAAGACCATCTAAAGCAAGTAAATGTTACTTTTGAAAAGGGGAAATAACAGATTCGACACCTTGCAAATGAAATTAATTAGTCTCAGTGAATTTGGATTTGAAAAAATGTGTCTGTTTTTTTTTTCACAGTGATTGTTTTTTTATTATTATTATTTGTATATTTTGTGTATGTGTATCTATTTCACTTTTCACAGTTTTTCAATAAAGTAAAATATTTGATCACAAAGTAAAAGAGGATTTGACAGTGACTACATACACTGAACAGCAATATTCTGACTATTGACCATCCATATCCGTATAACCATGTTACAGAGCATAGTTTGATTATGGTCATCACGTTCACTACGACATTGCATCTGATGTTATTCTGCCATTTTTAGAACCTCAACCTGAAGAAGGTTTATGTACGATACTTTCCAACTCTTAATAGCTTGTTGATTGGTTGAAATGTTCTGTTTAAAAGTATTGTATATTATATCTCAGTGTGACTGAAAAATGACATTAGTTACATCCCTAATTCATCGGAAGGTAAGTAACAAAAACATGCTTTTTTATCTTGCCACTTTCCTTGAACTCATCATCAGATAAAACTAAAAAGTCATAACAGAGGAAACAATATGCAAATTATCTTCTGCAGAATAAAAACTTAAGTCAGCATCTGTGAAAATCCATCTCCAGCAGAATTCTGCAAACCTAAGAGGACAAGCAACAAAGGTAAAAAAAAAAGGCTATAAAAATTTCTAGGGGCAAAGTTTGATAAATGTATTTTTTAGTAAGATTGCTCATAGGAAAGCATGTGCTGCCTCAGACAGAGAGATAGCTACAGACAGCTGTGCACACAAGGAAAATACCTTTACCACGGTGCAGTTGTTGATTGCATCTCCGTCATAAAATAAGTAGAGCTGCAGGCAAATGGAGCTCACTGAAGACGTGCCACCATGCTCTGTCAGATTTTCATTACCACTTCGCTCACGTCTTACACAGGCCCATGCAGTATTGGTAATTACCGATGCTGTGTCAATCTTTCAGGATTCATAATCAGGTGTTTTTCCACTTGAGGGAACTAACAACACCACCTCCAACCCACCCATCCCCTCACCAATACCCCTACTCCTCCCAGTCAAGTTCTCTGTTGACTCTTTACACCAGTGTAATGATATGATAGGATGCATTGACTTAAAAAGCACTTGATTACTAGAAACCACCACAGGTACAGGGGAAGAGATTTTGTGTGAAGAGTGCTTGGTGAAAGGATGTTATAGTCATCAGAAGATCAGCGAAAGAAGACTGACCTAGGCAACAACAGCAAAGTAATACAAAAAACATTCTGTCAAGAATCAAAAGCAGAATCAAATTCATTTAGGCAGAATATTTAAAAGATCTTTAGGGAGTTTGACAGATCAATAAAACCATTTATGATCGAGGATGTTATTCACATTTAGTTTCTGGTATGGAAGGTGTGCCCTTAAGAAATGTTATCAAGCTGACTATCAAGTATCCATGACTCGGAGATTTTGAAAATAGTTCTCATCACCTTCATCATGCAAAGTATCTAAACTGAATCCAGAAAACATGGAAAGAGATACTGAATACCGACAACACCTTCACTAGTGTCTTATGTTACCAATGCTGCCAATGAAATTCCTGTCTCCCTTCATGCCAGTGGGAAATGTCAGTTACATTCACTGTTCTTTAACAAATAGAAGCTGCTAATAACAAAGCCTCAGTTTATGGCTCAGCTAAAACATGTCACCAGTAACATGGCCCTCTGCGAAAACAACAGTCTGGTAAGTGCTGCTGAGACACAGGAGAGAAGGCCAGCTAACCCTTCCAACACAAACAAACACACACACACGCCTACCCCCTTTTGTGCGAGCAACACACTGAGGTCTAATCGATGCAGCTCATTCATATTGAACCACAGACGTCAGGGAAAGCCGGGGGAATTACAAGCAGCCTCCGCTGTGAGATCACAGCCTGGAGGAAGCCTGAGGAAGACGAAGCCAGCCTTACTTTGGAAGCCTATTGTTTACTCTGTACACTCTCCACAGCATTTCCAACAGCATGGCTATTGGCTCTCCTCACTCCACAGGAAAATGACACTGAAGAGGTACAATGGCACTTAAGGCTGATTGTTACACCAACAAACAATACACCATGTAGGAATATTTAAACTTGTGACAAAAATTTGTTGTCATGTAGTAGCACCAATATATATTGTGTTGACAGAAAGCCAGAAACCAGTATTGTTAGAAGATCTTATTGTACTTATATTTATTTTTGAAATAAGAAACCATTAATTCAAAACAACTGAAGTACTGTTTGTTTTTCTATTTCTACTATAGTCAGCAGGATTAAACTCCTTATGGGCCAACTTTCAACCTCCTACCTTATGTAAGTTTGGGATAAATGATTACACAGACTCATTCAATAATATGTCAAATAAGCTGAAAAGTGTTAAACTTCATTTTGAGGTGTCAAGAGATTAAGGGTGAAGGGGTCTTTGCGACCCATTGGGACAAGAAAGAAGGAGAGGCTGTGAATCATGAACTAGAGCAGGTTGTCCATTAATTGGAAGGTTGGTGGTTTTAACACTGGCTCTTCCAGTCCACAAAGCAGTACCTGGCCACATTGTGTCTCTGTGTGTGTGTGTGTGTGTGTGTTCAAATGGGTGTATGTGACCCGTAGTGTAAAGCACTTTGACTGGTCATTATGAAGAGCAAATAATGATATAGCAGTCCATTTACCATTGATGGTAATCCAGCCTTGATGAAAAGCCATCAAGGCATATATTTATTCAACTTGCATATATATATATATATGGATACACACTGCTCAAAAAAAATTAAGGGAACACTTAATCGTCAACAACGTTTAACAACATTTGCCAGAGAACAGCAGAATTGGCAGGTCTGCCGCCACTGGCAAACAGTTCTCTTCACAAAAAAGAGCAGGTTCAAACTGAGCACATGTGACAGTCGTGAAAGAGTCTGGAGACACCATGGTGGACATTATGCTGCCTGAAACATCATCCAGCATGACGTTGGTCGGTGGGTCAGTGAGGATCTGGAGAGGCTTGTCTTTGGAGGGTCGCACAGACCTCCATGCCATAGCCAACGGTACCTTGACTACTGTTAGTTACTGGGATGAAATCCTCAGAGAGATTGTCAGACCTTACATTGGTGCAGTGGGCCCTGGGTTCCTCCTGGTGCAGGACAATACCCGGCCTCATGCGGCCAGAGTGTGTAGGCAGTTCCTGGATGATGAAGGCATTGATGCCATTGACCGACCCTCTCGTTCCCCTGACCTTAATCCAATTGGGCACCAATGGGACGTTATGTATCAGTGTATCTGATAGAGCCAAGTATGGCCACAGACTGTCCAGGAGCTCACTGATGCCCTGATCCAGGTCTGGGAGGAGATCCCACGACATCATCCACCGACTCATAAAGGACCATGCCCAGACGTTGTCGGGAGTGCAAACAGGCACATGGAGGCCATACACAGTATGACATATTATGAGTTGCCATGATGAAATTCAAGTTGGATCAGCATGTGATTTCAAACTTTTACTTTGACTTTCAATGTGCTTTTGAATTCATACACTCAACGAGTTGACTATTTTCATTTCTATTGACCGTTGTTACGTCATTTTGTTCTTAACTAATTTTACAACGTACATAAATAAAGATTTTTTAACTTGAATAATTTGTTCATCAAGATCTGACGTAGGATTTAATTGCTTCCATTAATTTTATGAGCAGTGTATACATTTATTTATAGTTATTTGTGAAGAAAATATGTGGTTTAACGATTAAAAGAATGCAAAATTAGCCAAAGGAACTAAACACTTTCTGATAGGCTTTGTCTCCTCCGTGAAACACTGAGGAGGTAAATGCACAGGCCAAGTGAGGAGGTATTGTCTCCTGTGTTTCCCCTGACATGGTCATTGGTCATGAAATACTGAGAAAACTGTCAGTTTGACCCCAATTAATAGCCCAACAATGATTGTAAAAGTAGAGGTCAGGCACAGCTATTTCAAAATTAAACCAATAACTGGAGGAAAAATAACTCACGGTTCACAAATTCACAATTCATAGCTGGAAGAAGAACAGCGAAGCCAGACAAGGGCTGAAAGGGAATGCCTCCACAGCAGTCTTCATCTGCAACTAATGGTCCATACCAAGTCCAACACAAGCAGGCATTTAGATCCCATTCACACAGAGAACTCACCAGTAAATTCTGCTTGAGCCTTTGGTCACTGAAGGTCTCCGGGTTGTGTCTCAGAGCTCTGCTGTTGTCCTCTAGAAGATAAAAGCTGTTCAAACTTGGCACATCTTGGAGATGGTGGGGCAAAACTTCATTTCTTAGCTGTGGGGGTGGACAAACAAAAACACAAAAGCTTTAGTCATTTAAATCTTTTCATTTAAATGTTAAATAATAATACGTTCCCTCAATGGTTATCACAATAAGAATGACAGTTTTACAGTTAGATTGTGTAGTTTTTGGATGACGTTTTTGAATAACCCTTCACCAACTGCTGCAGAGTTCCACATGTGACCAAATTTGCTCACACTCCGTCAGTCAAGTGTGGGTGAGTGGCCGCTCAGAGTCAGCAGGTGGTCTAAGTGGAAAAACAGCTAACAGCTACACTCGATACAATGCGAACACAGTGTGTTCCCCCATCAATGATCCTTGCAGGTTCAACTTGACCCAAAAAGGATAAAGTACCCACTGAACTACCTGCCATCATGCTGCTTTGAGTACAGCTTTGTTCTACACCTTGAGTACACGGAGAATAAAAGCAATCAAATGAAATTCACAAATTTCAAATCAAAAAATAATGTTTGCATAATGAATTAGCTTTGAAAATATAAATAACTTATGGGTTTTGCTGGTAGATAATCTGTGCAAGTCACATCAACTGATTGGTATAATGGTAACTTAAGATCATTATCCCAGTCACCCAGATGCTTCACACAGCTTAACTCACATTCCAAAACCTGCAAGGAACCAAGCAACACGTTGACCAAGTGTATCAATGGAAAAACAACACTTGAGAACTCAGTCAACCAGATACTTACAAACCCACATAACTATAAGATGCCAACAAGGTAAAATAACATCCTCTCTCCATGTTCAACCACTTAGCCAGCAACGCTGATAGCACTACCTAAACTGCTTGTTATTGCCAAGCTAGTGGAGCTGGCTGGAAATAATAATGCCCCCTATTAAATTATTCATGGCTCCAGTCAGGTGGAACCAGATGCTGCCTTTGTGTCATAGAGGGAGAGTTGAAACTCGACTAAAGTATTGGAGGGCCATCGCTGCATGGAGGTAAAAAACAAACAGGGATTCTGCTGGGTACAAACAAAACGCAGGATGTCATGACACTCGTCTGGCTGTTTCCATGTGACATTTCCCTGCAAGTGCTCAGACAAGAGGACGATAGTTCAGTAGGCTGGTCCATATGGGGGCTTAGCCTGGGGTGCAGCTTGCAGTTCACCCACCCTGTGTTGGTGTCGCTTTGTACCCTAATACCCTGACATTTGTGGCCATGGCCAGAAGATGACCTTTTTTAGTCCATGCCATGCTTTAGTGCTGAATACTAATGCTATAGTGCTGTGTGTCCGCCACTCATGGGAACAAGCAGTGTATTTTTAGCCACATGTCCCCAGCTGTACATCTCCAACCGGGGGCCAATGGGCAATTAGTGTTTGTTTCTCATGGCAGGAGGCAGTGCCGTAACCTCCCTAACGCAAACAGACATCTGGATGAAGGCTCTCTCTGTCCTGCTTGTAACCCTGCTGCAAGGCACGACTCCTAAAGCCATGTAGACGTCGCCATCCACCTTAACTTTCATCAGGGCTCAAACTCTCTTTTCTCTTAAATCTACTATCAACAGGTGACTGGTTAACCTCATCATATTATAATCCATGTTCTTGGGTGAAACATTTAATCTGAGCAGAGGTGACTCTGGTGAGTTCAAACACCTATTGATTTATGTGAGGGAGATGTTTAGAAGATTATATGTTTGTGAACTTACTTCAGGGCTTGAGACAAACAGCATCCCTGGAGACAATATATGTGTTGGAGACAAACAGAACAGAAGCCTCCAGGACAAAGGTTTTATGTATATTTTTTTTTAATTAGATTATTTTGAACTATCACTTTGGAAATGACAAATTGAACTGAGCGCCAAGTAGTGAACAAAGCACAGAGTAGTGACAACACAACAGGTCCCAAAATGTTCTGGTGCAAAACATAATATTGGTCCATCTCTCCACTCGCAAATATGTTGCTTTTAGGATGGCCGTGTAGCGGCTGGACTTTAAAACAGGAGGCTTGAGGCACAGGTTAGGTGCAGACCAACCAGGTGTTCATTTCACCCACAAAGAAGACAAAGTCACAGTCATACTTCTCCACATAACATACAGTGAACCACCAGCAGCATGTGGTCCTGACAGCAGCAGCACTTGATGGAAACTGGCAGCATTATATAGCCTGCCACTGGCAACGACCTCGACCCCTACCACAGTATAGGGAACTCTGCCCCTCAATTGACATCCAAACTACACCAACACAACAAATACATTAAAATACATCGCTACTACACTCATGTTAAATAGTTTGCATAGTCTTCATTTATGTTACACATTACAAAGGAGGCATAGAAAACCTGAACAGCAGATTGACATACACTAACAACCCTACACTAATTGCCACATGGTATCTCCCAGAACCCTTAAGTTGGTGCTCCGATACCCTCGGGACTGTTTTAGCCCGAACACCCTTGAGAGGAGACACAACAGAGGTGAGTGACCTGAAACATTACACAATCAAGCAACAGTTCACCCTACTCAATCCAAAATCATTTTGGTAAAGGTTATATCACAATGAGCACATCATGTTGAGATAACAAACTACTCAAACTAAGTGGATATGTTTGTCTTCACAGGTCCGGCCTTCACTCAATTCCACTGAGAGGTGTTACAAAATACTAGTAATGAGGAGGACCTTCATTACAGTTGCATTGGTTAAATGAAACTCGTATCAGCTTCATCTAATCCAAATAGGCCTACAACAGAACCCAGAGTCTGAGGTGACTTGAGGACCAATTTAAATTGATGTATTTTTATTAGTCAGTGGAGAGAAACAGTCACAAGCTGATTGCTAATGCTACTTACTAGCTTTACCCTGGCTGTGTGAGAATATTAGCTACATTTAGACGGAACATATCATGATTAGATGCCACAACGGGACCACCGCCGGCTAAATACATCCAAGAAACAGATGTTTCTATTTTGTTCTAAACTTAATTATTGGAATGGAGCACATATAAACAGTCATTTAATTCCTCAACAGTTTAAATATCATAAAATAAGTATAAGAACAACAATTTGATTTTGAGATGTTTAACTTCACTTCCAGACAATTCAAATTTGTTTTCAGGAGAGTTCTGTGACAAAGTTAGCCTGAATCCCTGTTCCCTCCAGTTTAAACTGGTGGGAAGTAACAGAAATTTACAAAGCCACTACCATGCTCAAACACGCACATAGCAACTATGTCAGAACAATATGAGCTCATTATTTGTGATAATTGTCATAATTAGATTTAGTTTTCTGTTATCCATTCAGGCATTTGTTATTCAGGCAAAATGTGAGTCTAATTGTTATTCAACCATACAAACTCATGTTAGGCTGTAGTCCTAGATTGTTAGCCTTTCTACAATAATACAGTATTTTATGATACATTTGGCTGAGCAGGTATAATGAGTCAGTCTGGGAGTCTGTCATGACGGCCTCGTTAATTCATTTCAGTGAGGGCAAAGCTAATTCAATACAACTTATTCGAGCTTCTTCATGCAATTACCCTGTGTTCTTGTTCATTGATGCACCAGCATTGAGAGCAGTGGATTGGAGAGAGGGCTTACCAACCACACAGAGACTTACAACATACAACAGTGTAGTGCAACCTATCATACAGTGAACAGAGAGGAAACACTGCAAAACTACTATCACGACACAAATCACAGTCGCATCCAATCCCCCAATCAGTCATGCTGCAGATTACCATGTCTGTCATATAATATATGAAGTGAAGACTTTGAAGGACTGTCATAAGGCATCAAGTGTATTTGAATAATACTTACAGTGTTACACAGTGGTGTTACAGTTAAGTTTACCTTTCACCTTTTAGATATAAAATGTCATCACATAAATTATATCATCATTTATGTCATAAGTAATGTATGTACCACAAACATGTTTTGTGAGGTCATAGTGACCTTGAATTTTGACAACCAAAATCTAATCAGGTGATCCTTGAATTTCGAAGAAATTCCTCTGAAATGTTCCCCATACTTAGGGAACGGGTGGATGCATTGACGGACAGGCTGAAAACTTTATGCGTCTGGCCACAGCTGTCACCACAGCGGAGGCATAAAAAAAGTCATTGTGCTGCAACGCTCACCGCACAGCCAAGCCCTTTTCTTTCAGGCAATCTGTTATGAAATTCCACTTGATCAGAACATTAAAAACAATTACATCCTCAAATAAACACAAAGCTTTAACTCTGGAGCACATTAATATTCCATTAATTTTCCTCAACATTGAGAGTGGTGTAGAAACAGCAAGTGTGCCTTGAACTCACTGGCACAGAGTGTTGTGGTGCAGCCTACAATCCTCAGTTCTGAGCCTATGCTATCAAAGCATGTGTAATTACCCCCAACATGGCGGACACAGAATTCAATGTGTCCATATTAAAGAAATTTAAATTAGACATCATCAGACATTTACATTAGACATTACTGTTGCTTCTGTTGTTGATTTCAAATGTACAAGAGTTCAAATCATCATTTTGGAAAAACTTAATTTAGCAAATTTGGGTTTAAGGTACTTGTGCAACATGACACTGATCATAATTTTGCTTTTTAAGAAAATATGAGTTGAGCGTGGAAAAAGCAGACAGTCTGAAAAACCTGTAAGCAAGAGTACAGGTACAAAGAGGGAGTCTGAGATTGAAGCTGTGGAGATAAGCTTTTTTTAATACAAAGCAAATCCTGACAAATAATCATCACTGCCTGTGGATTTTGGCAAGATCCAAATAATCATCCCCAACTGCCCCCCTTAGACGTGATTGTCCACAACAGACAGCCTTCCACCTCATCTCACCTCACTCAGACTTAACTAGAATGGCACTCAGTAGAACGAATACCTCCACCTGATACATAATTTTTTTCATTAGGAGTCATGCATTATTCCCTGAAAAGATGGTAATTCTAAAGAAAGTGAAAAAATAATTTATGGTAGGTGTGGGCGATATAACTTCAAATCACCATCCCAATTATTTCAAACTTTAACTAAATAATA